GCCAAGTTTCGTGCTAACAATGGAAAATTCTCTGTCTTTCTTTCTAATTATCCGTTAATCATATTCAAATTTTATTATATATATGTTGTGTGAAAATTTAACTATCAAACAATTTAATTTATATTGAACCTGTCTGTTGGGATCCACATTCGCCCCGTGACACAAAGGCCATCACATTAATATAGTAAACCATCAATATGCACAGAACATAATTTGCTAGAAATCACATTAATATCAACAATAAATGGAAAGCTACATCAAAGCATGCACACATGCAACTCTAGATGTGGTAGCAAGCAAATAATAATTATGATCATATTTGGACACATGCAACTCTAGATGTGGCAGCAAGCAAAAAATAATCAAGATCATATTTAGAACCATCTAGATGTGGTAGCAAGCAACTTTAAATAATTTATTTGAAGCATTTGTTCAACATGAAGTTAGTCTAGGATATTAAAAAAATAGAGGGGTTATATGCCGAAATGACCAACACTGCAGCTAATTTGAACCCCTCAAAAACAATGTCATGTACCTTTGGGGATTAATGAATTTAAGCTTAGTCTTATTTATTACCCCTTGGTTAAAGTTTTAACACTAAATTTAAATCCAAATTGTGTTTTAGAAGATCTATCTTTTGTTGATTCCTCACATATAACGATTATGAAATATCTTTAAGTTGACAATGACAATAGGATTTCATTTCAATTAAGGAAATGCAAATACTATTCATCAATGTCCATGGATTATTAAAGAAAAATTAAATTTCAAATAACATCATATTCTATTTTTTCACTCCCTCAAATATCAAGACTTGTGAGTGCTCTTTTAAATCACACAATTTATAACAATTGCAGCAAAAATCACTACCCACTTAAAGATTGTATCACCTGTTAGTAATCAAATAAATCATAATATAAATAAACATATCACTTAGTTCTAGAGATTTATGATGGTAAAATAGGTGAAAACGGCATTGGTCTTTCTCTTTGGACGGAGATATTTTAAATGTTAGTACTTCAAGCCCTATTCTTAGAATTAATTTCATATTTTTTGAGACATTCTTTTGATCTTAAAATGAACATTTAAAATTTTTAATTAACAATTCCCACCCCCCCTTTTTGTTCTCTTTTTGGTTTAATTGTAATTGTTCTAAGAATCATAAATTAGTCTAAAGTAACTCTCTGTTTTTTTTTCTAATTATATTTTTGGTAATAACAGCCACATGCATCCACATACATTCACTTCAACTTGCCTCATTCAAAAATTTAAAATTTCACATCACAAACAAGAAGAAACGATGATCTAGACCCTTTCATTAATATGGAAAATCATATTGGCAATTTAGCATACATTCTAGAAGAAAATATTTAACATTGATTTTTCGTTAATTTTCTTAAAGAGTATATTGTATAAATTGATAAAATGTTGAACTTTTTTTTTTTTTAAATTGTATTAGAGACTCATATATATAATCCACAACAATTGACAAATTAATGTTTATAAGTTATAAATCCAGAATGGTACACCAAAAGGTAGTGGTATGCTCATGATAACTAATTGATACACAGCTACTTCACCTAAAATTCCAATCGAATATGAGAAACTTAAACTTCTAGGTTGGAGAAAATTTGGAAGATATACAAACTACTAGCTTTTCGTTTGAAACTTATAATCAAACATGAAGAGTGAATTGATTGCAATATTACCTGACTACTATCCCCATCCACAAGATCACTCGTGGCAATTCTACGCTCATACTCAACCAAAGGCCCTACTTTGCTTACTACTACAATCAAATCAAATTAAACCCAAATCAAAATGTGAACATCATGCTAAAGATTATTTAAAAAAAATTAAAAGGACAAAAAGACAACCTCCTTGTCACGAAGCCAAACCCTCAGCTTCTTCCACTTATCTAGTCATATATAACCTACCAAAGCGGCTCAAATTTGCGCATAAAAATCTCTCTTTACCTTCTTTTTTTTTACCCCACAAAAATCATTGCAAAATTAAAACCCAAAGAACAAAATATTTTAACTCAATTCTCTGAACCCCACAGAAATTCTTATTTCATATTCAGAATTTTGACTAGCAAAACTAGAAGAAGAACCGAAGTTCACAAGGGGCCAAAAAAATAAACCTTCACACCAAATAATTTGAATTTTGCATCAAACAAAACATTATCTACAAAACTAAAATCTCTGTAAACCTTGTTACAATTATATAAAAAATAAAAACCCATATCTATTTCATAGATTTGTAACAGACCAAACCCAAAGAATAAAATTTGAACTCAATTCTGAACCCCACAGAAATTCATAATTCAATCAAAGAATTTTCACAAGCAAAACTTGAAAATTAACAAAAGTTCACAAGAATAAATAAATAAATATGAAAATGAAAATAACCCTTCATACCAAATAACATATATTTTAAATCAAACAAAATGTAAATTCATACCTCAACCATCTCCACATTTCTAGCTCGTTCGAACAACCCAGCAAGAGTAGCACTGTTGACATTGAAAGGTGTACGGGGAGGAAATAATTCTCCTCGTATAATCCTGTTGACCAAGTCCACGCTCCTCCGTACGACGTCGCTTTGTCACCTGAAAACACAAACGTGAGCTAGCCGGCGGGTGTGTGCCGGAAACCTCTCCGATGCCTAAGTCAGAAAAACTTGACAAATAGACAAAGCTCTAAGTTCTCAAAAAGATTGTGTTCAATTTCCTCCAAGGTGATGCTTGTAGGCTTTTATAAGTTTCCCGTGGCACAATCCTAGTAGGACTTGTACTTCTCCATGCAGAGTCCTCCTAGGATTCATTCTCCTAAGGATAATGCTTATCCTTTTACACCCTCCCCACTGCTTAAACCAAGTGGGATGGTTTTCTTCATGGCCGAACTATAACATGACCGAAATAACACTGGCTCTACTGAGCCACATAGAAGGCCGAACTATCCTTAGCTCGGTCTTCTCCTCTAACTCGTTACTTCGGCTGTCCTTGTTCAACCTTGATGTGCTTAGGTCAACCTTCCCAGTAACAAGTTCTGACCGACCTAACCATAGTATGTGACGACCGGACTAATCCCGAAACCAGCCTTCCCTGTACATATCGCGACCGAACTAATTCTGAGACCGGCCTAACTCCAAGTTGCCTCCGACCGGAGTAGCTTTATTCTTCCTTAGGCCGAAGTAACTATTTCTTCTCTGAGCCGGAGTAATCTCACCTCTATGGGCCGAAGTTACACTACGGCTTTTTATCGATTCCTTCACACTTTGGGCCGCAGGGCCCAACTCACAGCTCGGCCCAATTCTTTCCCAAAAATTACCCTCTCAATTGCCCCTGAATTCCATCTGTGCAACATGATTGGGATTACCAGCCTTTTGGCCGAGCTAGAGTTTGTTACGCTTTTTCAGCCGAGCTAAAAAACCCTTTTAGCCTTTCCAGCCGAACTAAGTTTACCTCGGGTAACACTATGTCCGGTCAAAACGGTCTCTTCAATCACAATTCTGAACCCCACAGAAATTCATATTTCAGTCAAAGAATTTTCACAAGCAAAACTTGAAAATTAACAAAAGTTCACTAGAATTAATAAATAAATATGAAAATGAAAATAACCCTTCACACCAAATAACATAAATTTTACATCAAACAAAACATTATCTAGAAAATTAAAATCTCACTAAACCCTAAACCCATATATATATATATATATATATTTCATAGATAGACAAAAATGTAAATTCTTACCTCAACCATCTCCACATTTCCAGCTTGTTTGAACAACCCAGCAAGAGTAGCACTGTTGACATTGAAAGGTAAGTTTCCAATGAAGAGTTTGAGAGCAGGAGAGAAACTGGGTTCCTCTGCATCACTCAATAGGTCCTCTTCTTGCTTGTACTCGGATGAAACTGCAACGTTTTGTACGAACTTGGAAGGTGAGGAGGCTGCTCGATGCCGTCGTTTGCTGCCGCTCAACGGAGAGAGAGAGAGAGCGCGCCGTAAGAAGAGATTAGGGATTTTTGGTTGAAGGGGATTTTGGTTCAAGAGATTGGGGAGGGGGGTAACCCGAGCGGGAATGGAAAAAAGGGGGAGTGGAAAATCAAGCGGGAATAATTTTTTAATTATATAAAAAATAAAAACCCATATCTATTTCATAGATTTGTAACAGACCAAACCCAAAGAATAAAATTTGAACTCAATTCTGAACCCCACAGAAATTCATAATTCAATCAAAGAATTTTCACAAGCAAAACTTGAAAATTAACAAAAGTTCACAAGAATAAATAAATAAATATGAAAATGAAAATAACCCTTCACACCAAATAACATATATTTTAAATCAAACAAAATGTAAATTCATACCTCAACCATCTCCACATTTCTAGCTCGTTCGAACAACCCAGCAAGAGTAGCACTGTTGACATTGAAAGGTAAGTTTCCAATGAAGAGTTTGAGAGCAGGAGAGAAACTGGGTTCCTCTGCATCACTCAATAGGTCCTCTTCTTGCTTGTACTCGGATGAAACTGCAACGTTTTGTACGAACTTGGAAGGTGAGGAGGCTGCTCGATGCCGTCGTTTGCTGCCGCTCAACGGAGAGAGAGAGAGAGCGCGCCGTAAGAAGAGATTAGGGATTTTTGGTTGAAGGGGATTTTGGTTCAAGAGATTGGGGAGGGGGGTAACCCGAGCGGGAATGGAAAAAAGGGGGAGTGGAAAATCAAGCGGGAATAATTTTTTTTTTGGTTTCTGTCACAAATGAATATTTAAACAACAAAATGGCTCTTTTTAAAAAAAAAAAATTTATTTTTTGTTAAAATAATTTTTTTTTAAAAGTTAATGAAATTTTTTTTTTGATTTTTCATTTTTTTTAGTTACTAAGGTTGAAAATTTATTTGTTTCATTTTTATTTTAATGAATAAAAAATTATTATTATTTTTTTAATTTGGTAGAAGTAGGGGTAATATTTTAATGAAAAATATCTATTGAAATAAAGTTAATTTTTTGTGATCAATGAAAAATATTTTTCTGCGACCCCTTTTTTTTTGTTACTAAAAATCAGGAACTAATTTTGTGGTAGAGGAGAGAGAGCGGCAGTAGTGGTGAAGGTGATGGATAAGAGGTCATAGTGGTGATGGCGGTGATGGCGAAGGAGATTAGTGGTGAAGCTGTGGTAGTGGTAGAGGAGATAAAGTAGCGGTGGTGGAGGAGAGGTAATGGTAGTAGTAGTGGTGGTAGACAGAATAAGAAGAGTGATAAGTGAAAGAGAAAAAGAGAAGAGACAGAGACAGAGACAGAAAAAGGAAAAAATGGGTGAAAAGAGAAATGTTATATCAAAAGAGTAAGACGGCGCCCTTTTCTTAATTTTTTTGTGACAGAAAAATATTGTTGCATTTATTCAAACCATTTTGTGATTGTATATTTATGAAGCTGTCTCAAAACCACAATATTTTTTTTTTTACTTTTTTTTTGAAACGGAACCTATTACAATCAGAAAAATTCATATATATATATATATAGTGCCGACAACAATCTCTGCTGTCGCAAATACTCTCCTTTTTTGCGACAATAATTTCTGCCGTCGCAAATACTCTCATTTTTCGCTACAGCATTTTCTGCCGTTGCAAATACTCTATTTTTCTGCCGTCGCAAAAACTCACCTTTTTCGCGATGGCAAGTTGTGCCGTCACAAAAACTCACTTTTTTTACGACGACAAAGTTGTGCCGTCCCAAAAAGTCACTTTTTGAGACGGCAAGTGTGCCATCGCAAATGCTTCCGTCTGTTAAGCCCACTTTTCTTGTAGTGAGACAACATTCCTAAATCCTAATATTTTGCAGTCATAAGGACAATAACAATTTAAAAGTTACTCGTCTACTATTTCACATATCTATCCACGTTACATATCTGTCTATCTATCTATTCAATGTCAACTAGCTATCATTCAAATTAAAAATTTTATGATTTTCTATTTCCAAGCTATAGAATCGCCTCTTTGACCTGATTAGTTTTTTGAACAAATTTCACTTTACCCAAATTATGGCTCATGTGCACATTGCTCCTATCATTTGAAAATAAGCACATAACTCACGTAATTTTCATACTAAAGTACACCTCGTTTAGTCTATTAATAGCTCGGGTGAAAACACTAAAATACTCTTGTAGATAGGTTACTCTCACAGTGCAAATCATTAACATTCTCAACATTTTTAACAAAAAGTTTGTACTATTAACTTGACGAAATATTTACCTTGTTTAATTTGAGTTTTCTGAATTCACTTTTTAAAAAATTAAATTTTTTTATTTTCCGTATTTTTTTGTTCATTGAATTTTTAAAAAATATTTTAAGCCATTTTTTTTAATTTTTTAGATACACCTAACATAAATACACTTAAAAAGTATAATATTTTTTAATATTTTTTTGCAAATATTTTACTTTTTAAATACATATAAGTAAGATACATCTAAAAAGGTAAAAAAATTGTTTAAAATTTTAAACATATTCACTAAAAATATAAAAAAAACTCAAATTTTAGAAAATTAAATTCAGAAAATTGAAACCAAACACGGTGAATACACTTCAATCTATAAATTACAAAAAAATTATGCAACTATTTCAAAATGATTGATGATAATCTGCACATTGACGATACCACAAGTAAAATTTACCCTAGTTTTTTTTAAACCCAAAATTAAATAACTAGTGTATGAACATTAAATAACTAGTGTATGAACAAATATAATTTATAAACTATGTTAAAACATGAAATAGTAATGACAATTAAAAAAGCATAAAAAAACGTTATTACTACTATAATTTTTTTACCAGAATGTAAACACTACAAGAGAAAAGTAGGTTCAAATAATGTTCTGTTAATTAAAAAATGTAATTGGTAATCACTCTGTTTAAAAAATATAATTAAAATAACCCTTTAAATAAATAAAATAAAATAAGAAAAAGAAAAAGCATGAATGCTATCCACACCTTGATCAGTACATTATGGTAAAAACTCTTCAGTTGCATACTTTTACACAAACAAGTTCTCTCAAAATCAGTTCAAAAGTGCTCCAGATCAAATCAACCACAAAAAACTAAAAAAAAGATCACATTTTATAATCATTTGAAGTCACCAATAGTTTTTTTTTAAAAAAAAAATTTGTCACCAACAGTTTGGATGCAACTTGAAATTGTTACACATTTTGTGATTAGAAAATGTTTGAATAAAAAAATGCATAACATTATCATAAAATACATAACACTATCACAAAATGTGTAACTTCATTTCTCAATCATTAAGGCATTTGATGAACTTGGTGATGTGAATATTCACATTAAATAAATTTGACAATGTGAATATTCACGTTGATAGGTCGAATGTTCACATTGACATTATGTATATTCACATCATGGAACATTCAGACTGTCAATGTGAACATTAATGCGCGGTTCACCCTATTATTATGAGGGATATTTTGGTAATTATGTTATCCATAGGATTTGTTGAAATATAAAAAAATAATTTAGACTAAGTGGAGGGAGTGAAAAATGATTTATGAATAAACACCATCTTGTTTGGTTTCAATTTGCTGAATTCAGTTTTTAAAAAATTGAAATTTTTTATTTTTCATGCTTTTTATTTTCACTGAATTTTTTTAATATTTTAAGTAATTTTTTAATTTTTAGATAACATCTATAAATACACTTAAAAAGTATAATATTTGTGATTTTTTAAAAAAAGTACAATTCTTTTTAAAAAAATTCACTAAATACCAATAATACAAAAAAAAATATGAAAATTCAGTGTATTTTTATATTATTGTTCATTATTGATTTTGTAAAATATTTTTTTTATAAATATTTTACTTTTTAGATATATCTAAGTAAGGTACATCTAAAAACATAAAAAAAGATATTTAAAATTTAAAAAATATTTATTAAAAATATAAAAAGCTCAATTTTTAAAAAAATAAATTCAAAAAATTTAAACCAAACTAAGTGATTATTTACTAATTTTCAACAATAGTGAGAATCATTGTTTGGTAGAATTTTGGAAACGTGATTCCATACCTTGGTTCGAATGCTGTGTTTGGTTAGAATTTTCAAAAATTGATTCCACACCCACTTTTGAAAACACGTCTATCCAGTCATCCTCCCGCACATTCAGCTGGTTGACCAGAACAGTGTTTGTTTTTTATTTTTTTGTCGCAATTGGCACATGTTATTTTTTATATTTTAAATAATTTTTTTTAAATTTTTTTTAATGAGTTTTGAATTGTGTGTTTAGTTATGAGTTGTAAATTTTTAAATCAAACAACTTTTCTAATTTTAAAAATTTAAATTTTTTTTCAAAACTCATACCTAAACAAATTCTTTCTTTTCAAATCATAATTCAAAATTTCACAAATTCAAAATACTTATACCAAAAACTAACACCCCGGGCGCGTACTTTGATTCCATTATATGTAAGGGTAAGCAAAACGCTAAATTCAGCAAACTCAGCTGCCTTCCTCTCTCAGCAGCTTGCAGCGCTCTCTCTCAGCCATGGCGAACTTCTTCAGAAGAGGTAATTTCTAAATTTCTAGATTCAGCAAATTTGCATGTTTGGATAGGCACCCACACAATTTGCATAAGGATAGACACCCACACAATTTGCATGTTTGTTGAATCTAGAAATTACCTCTTCTGAAGAAGTTCGCCATGGCTGAGAGAGAGAGCCACAAGCTGCTGAGAGAGGAAGGCAGCTGAGTTTGCTGAATTTAGGGTTTTGCTTACCCTTACATATAATGGAATCAAAGTACGCGCCTGGGGTGTTAGTTTTTTGTATAAGTATTTTGAATTTGTGAAATTTTGAATTATGATTTGAAAAGAAAGAATTTGTTTAGGTATGAGTTTTGAAAAAAAATTTGAATTTTTAAAATTAGAAAAGTTGTTTGATTTAAAAACTTACAACTCATAACTAAACACACAATTCAAAACTCATAAAAAAATTTTGAAAATATTTTTTATTTAAAATATAAAAAATAACATGTGCCAATTGCCACAAAAAAATAAAAAACAAACAAACACTGTTCTGGTGAACTAGCCGAACGTGCGGGAGAATGACCGGATAGACGTGTTTTCAAAAGTGGATGGAATCAATTTTTGAAAATTCTAACCAAACACATTCAAAACGTTTCCAAAATTCTACCAAACAATGATTCTCACTATTATTGAAAATTAATAAATAATCACTTAGTTTAGTTTAAATTTTTTGAATTTATTTTTTAAAAAATTGAGCTTTTTTTATTTTTCATATTTTTAATAAATATTTTTTAAATTTTAAATATATTTTTTTATGTTTTTAGATGTACCTTACTTAGATATATCTAAAAAGTAAAATATTTATAAAAAAAATATTTTACAAAATCAATAATACACAATAATATAAAAATACACTGAATTTTCATTTTTTTTATTATTATTGGTATTTAGTGAATTTTTTTAAAAAAAAATTATACTTTTTAAAAAAATTCACAAATATAATACTTTTTAAGTGTATTTATATGCTAGATGTATCCAAAAATTAAAAAATTACTTAAAATATTAAAAAAATTAGTGAAAATAAAAAAAATATGAAAAATAAAAAATTTCAATTTTTTGAAAACTGAATTCAACAAATTGAAACCAAACAAGATGTTGTTTATTCATCAATCATTTTTCACTCCCTTATGCTCCACTTAGTCTAATTATTTTTTTATATTCCAACAAATCCTATGGATAACATAATTACCAAAATACCCTAATAATAATAGGGTGAACCGCGCATTAATGTTCACATTGACAACTTGAATGTTCCATGATGTGAGGGGTGGGCGCGGATCGGTTTGCCATCCGTTCCGGCGGATGCGGATTTGGCGGATTGGCGAATGGATACGAATCGGTTTGACGGTTTGAAATTTTACAAATTTTCAACAAAAAACAAAAAAAAAAACCCTAGGCAATGCAATATTTATTTATTCAAATCCATGGTCTAACAACAGTTTAACAAAAAAAAAAACTTGAAAGAAAATAAACCATGTATTTATTAAACATATAGAGTATTCAATTAATTGTAAAGCTGAAGATTAGATTTTTTAAAAGTACAGAGCAACAAGCAACTGAGAAGAGTATTCAACATATAGAGTATTCAATTAAACAGAATCTGATTCCATGTGTGACATAGTTTTAACACATTTTGTAGCAACATATTATGGAAAAATTCTAAATATTGGTTAAGATGAGACTTACAGGAGCTCAAAATGCAGGTTGGTGTGCAACTATTTCAAACATACAACAGCCTGGGACAGTAGCAACATGTCATTCATGGATGAGTCATGCCATGAAGTTCTCACCATCTGCATAAGATGTGAGGCGACACCATTAATAGGTAGACATAAGATGGTGCCATTTCTTCTCAATCATTAACAACATACAAAACTTATTGACTGAAGCCAATACTAGGAGAGAATCTATCTGAGTATCTGAATGTACTATTAGATTGGACCTTAGAAAAAAGATCAATGGACTGATGGAATGCAAGTGTTGTATTTGATTAATTCAATTGTAGAATACAAGTTTATTTCATTTGAATATATATAAATTGATAAAGTATGATTAGGAAATAAATTGTAGAGCAGCTCTGCAAGTAAGTCACCTGTACATTTAATATTTATGATCATGAGATCAAAAACTGCATGGAGGACCATATACATCAATCAAATCATATTCATTCTTTTTGCCTTCTTACCCAATCTAATTTCATTGTCTTTCGTAAGAAATATGTTTGAAAACTCAAAAACATTATTAAACATGATTAATACTCAGAAACATGATTAAACATGACTATTTGATCAATGACAGCCCAAATTTATGATTAATTTAACACAGTCAATGCCCTAATTAATTAACAGAACATAGTCGAAGCCCTATCAGATTCAAAACACAGTCGAAGCCCTGAAGAGAAGAGAAGAAAAGAAGATCTGTACAAAGACAAGAAGAGAAGACAAGAGAAGAAGCCGAAGCCCTAGCCCTAATACTGAAAAAATAAAAAAATAAAAACACATAACACAATCGCCGATCAACGATCAAAGACAAAGAGAAGAGAAGAAGAGAAGATTACCTCCTAATCGATGCTTTGATCGCTTGCCGCCACTGTCGTCGATCGCCGATCGTCGCTAGCTAGTAGCCACCACTGTTGCCGACGCCGATCACTTCTCGTCGCCTCCGTTCAAGTGAGAGAGAGAGAGAGAGAGAGAGAGAGAGAGCACTTTCTTTCTTCGAACTCGAACGAAACCTAGGGCTAAATAAACCTGAAATGAAATAAAAGGGGGGCAACACTGGGGGAAAATGAGGGGAAATTAGGGTAGGCGGGCGGGTCGGGTGATTCATTAGATTTGACGGATTACCCGCGGCCCACACCTGCGACCTGCAAAAATGTTAGTATTTACTGGCCTCAATGGCCTGCACCCGCTCGTCAAATAGCACGCATCCACCCACTATGCCTCGGGTCGGGTCGAGCGGATGGGCCGGACCGGTAGATCCATTGCACACCCCTAATTGTTAATGTGAACATTCAATCTATTAACGTGAATATTCACATTGTTAAATTTATTTAATGTGAATATTCACGTCACCAAGTTCATCAAATGCCTTAATGATTGAGAAATGAAGTTGCACATTTTGTGATAGTGTTATGTATTTTATGATAATGTTATGCATTTTTTTATTCAAACATTTTCTTTTCACAAAATGTGTAACAATATCATAAAGTACGTAACATTATCACAAAAATGCGTAACTTCATTTCTCAAACACAAATTGTCATAAGTCTTATAAAAAAAATATGTAACATTTATAACAAAAATAAATAATCCGGTGCATGCAATACACATTTTGTGGTATTGTGTATATGCTATAGTAGTATTAAGGGAAATGTTATTATAGCGATCCCGGGTTTACCCTTGTTGTACAGTGATCCGGACATGTGTCCGTGGATGTTGGTAGTTGTTTATTATCTTGTTTGCATCGTTATGGTACACAAAATCTCAAAAAGTGTACGCATCCATATTATGTATTTTTGTGAAATATGTTATGTATTTTTATGATATATATATATATATATATATATTTTGGATATAGTTACAACAATTGTAAATGAATATTTTTGTGATAATGTTACACATTTTTTAGCTAGAAAATATCTAAATAAAAAATACATAATATTACCACAAAAATAAATATATTACCACAAAACACGTACCATCACTCTTGAACCACAAATTATCTTAATTCTATAAAAAAGAATATGTAATATTTATCATAAAATTACATATAATAGAATGAATATGATACCATAGCATTTCCCATGTAAATTCTCGTAACCATAAACCTAAATGAAGTTCTCCTTGTACTTACAAATTTACCTACATATAAGTAAATAAATTAAACTAAATTTAAAATCCAATTGAATCAAATATACATGAATAAACATTCACTTTGTCTCAAACTATTTGTTTCGTGCATAATCAAAAAAACTTAAAAATAATATATTTGATCCATTTGTATTAATTTAGAATATTATAATTGTTGTTTTGTTGGTTATTATTAATTATCTAGTAATTAGGAGTTCTAACATTAGTGAGTTATAGGTTAGGTCACATGCGATGTGGTAGTGGATTGTTATATGTTTACGATGGTCAGATTTAACTTGATTGAACCAACATTCAACAGAGGTTTCCCCCTCAAGGTGGGTCTTTTCTTTCCAATTTCTTCTCATTTTTTTTTTTTTTTTTTTTTTTTTCAGTTTCTTCTTCTTCTTTTTGTCAATTTCTTTTTCTTCTGTATTTATTTATTTGTGTTAATGTGTTAATTTTGTTAAGAAAAGGGCACTGAACTTCTAATTACTAGATAATGAATAATAATAACAAAATAAAACTTATAATATTCTAAAATAATCTGAATTTACCACTTAAAATCAACCTTGCTCTCAAGGTTGAAATACAACTAGATGACATATTTTTTGAAATAAATATTCTATTCACGTATCAAAATTAAAAATAATAAATAATTGCAACTCATTTGTGATATGGTTCTCACTATTATTGAAAATTAAAAAATAATTTATTCATAAATCATTTTTCACTCGCTTATGGTCCACTTTTAAGTTATTTTTTATATTCCAACAAGTCTTATGAATAACATAATTACCAAAATATCTCTAATATTAATAGGATGAACTGTACATTAATGTTCACATTGATGGTCTGAATATTCCATGATGTGAACATACACTGTCAAATGCAACATTCACACTATCAACGTAAATATTCACATTTTCAAATTTATTTAACGTGAATATTCACATCACTAAGTTGCTAAATGTTCAAAAAATATTTGTAAGAGTAAAATTGTTCATAAAATACCTTAATGGTTGAGAAATGAAATCGCACATTTTGTGGTAGTGTTACGTATTTTATGATAGTGTTATGCATTTTCTTATTCAAACATTTTCTAATCACGAAATGTGTAACATTATCACAAAAATGCGTAACTTTATTTCTCAAATATAAATTGTCATAACTCCTACAAAAAAATATGCAACATTAATCACAAAAATATATAACAAGATGCATGCAATACACACTTTGTGGTATTGTGTATTGTGTATATGCTATAGTAGTATTAAGGGGAACGCTATGGTACACAAACCTCAAAAAGTGTACGCATCTTATATTACGTATTTTTATGATAATTTTTTTTTTTTAAAGTAGAGTTACGACAATTGTAAATGAACATTTTTGTGATAATGTTACACATTTTTTGGCTAAAAAATATTTGAATAAAAAAATATATAACATTACCAATAAATAAATAATATTATCACAACATACGTACCATCACTTTTAAGGCTATGTTTGGCATAAATGGTTCGGGTTAAAATAGCTACAAACAGACAACATTGGTTAAAACGTCAATAAAACAAAATGTCACATCCAAATCATAATCATTTCATTTTTTAAAAAAAAAAATCAAAAAAATCAAAAAAGTCTATCACAAACGAGGCTTTTTAGCCCCAAACTGGCCTCATTTAGCATGCAACACTTTTAGCCTAATACTCAAAATGTTATTAAAAAAACCAAAAAACCTATAATCGATACGAAAAAATCAAAAATTTCAATTTCTCTCTACTTTTTACATCTTTTAGCTTGATTGAATCAACATTCAACAGAGGTCTCCCCCTGGAGGTGGGTCTCTTCTTTCCAATTTCTTCGTTTTTTTTTTTAAAAAAAAATTCAATTTCTTCGTCTTTTTGTCAATTTCTTTTTCTTATTTATTTATTTATTTGTGCTAGTGTGTTAATTTTGTTAAGAAAAGGGGCCTGAAATTCTAATTACTAGGCCTTTATTTGGCATGGGACGAAATTGATGTCAGGCTTAAAATAATCATAAAAATATAAAATAAATAAAAAAATTAATAAGATAAAGTGTCACATTTAAATTATAATAATTTTTTTTTTCAAAAAGCCGACCACAAATGAGATTTTGAGTCTCAAACTAAAAAAAGTTGTAACGTCCTCAAAATTAACCCATTATATATATCATAAACATGCATTATTTAAAGAAGACAATTAATTAATTCATTCATCAGAGTATTACTAAATAAAGCATTACATGTAACATCGAATAAAATGCCCTACAGGCTTACATCTTTCCAAGCCAACACTTGGATTCAAAAATATGAGTTCTAATCTCAATACAAGAAAAGCCCTAGGCTTGAATGTTTACACGTACAAATAAATATCAACTATTAACTAAAGATAATCTTCTTCAATCCAGATGCCAAACCCTCCCAAGCTAAGTCCTTGGAGGTAGTTTATCGACTGAACCTGAAAATGATGTTCCCATAAAGGGTGAGCCACAGCCCAGTAGAGATATACTAAACCACATATAAGCAATGAATAAAGCAATAGCATTCAACAGTTGGTCAACCAAAATAATCAATTACTTCATTTTACAGTCTCATGACACTATTGCCAAAGATACGTTTTACTTTCCAATTTTATCCATATGGCTCAGAACCTGGCCAAACTTACAACAGTGAATCACATATATCATATTCACATCCTTCCGATATCAACAAACAAATGAGACTCAAGCTCAAATCAAACACTTCATACTTCCAGATTGATACACCTTTTGAACTTCCACAACCTTTCAGTTTTGAAAACCAATTGCAACCTTTAAAAGGTTATGGTCCCTATTCCTTCCCAAAGGTGAAAATAAGAACACTGTCATTTTTCTTTCTAAATCCTCTCAAGGAGAAACATAAGGCACCAAAGGGGAAAGGATTAGAAGGCGATAATATAATCAATAACAAAGAGTTCATTGATAATCACGCTTCCATTTAACCGTTCATCAATGGATTCAGGTATGTCATTTTGTCTTGATTTCTTGATAATACACATGGTAAATGATCCAAAGTATAAGGTTTATGTTCTGAAATTTATGTTGACAATAACATCATAAAATACATAACATTATCACAAAAATGCATAACTTTATTTCTCAAATATAAATTGTCATAACTCCTACAAAAAAATATGTAACATTAATCACAAAAATATATAACAAGATGCATGCAATACACACTTTGTGGTATTGTGTATTTGTGTATTGTGTATATGCTATAGTAGTATTAAGGGGAACGCTATGGTACACAAACCTCAAAAAGTGTACGCATCTTATATTACGTATTTTTGTGATATATGTTATGTATTTTTATGATAATTTTTTTTTTAGTAGAGTTACGACAATTGTAAATGAACATTTTTGTGATAATGTTACACATTTTTTGGCTAAAAAATATTTGAATAAAAAAATATATAACATTACCAGAAAAATGAATAATATTATCACAACATACGTACCATCACTTTTAAGGCTATGTTTGGCATAAATGGTTCGGGTTAAAATAGCTACAAACTGACAACATTGGTTAAAAAGTCAATAAGACAAAATGTCACATCCAAATCATAATCATTTCATTTTTTTTAAACAAAAATAAAAAAAACCAAAAAAGCCTATCACAAACGAGACTTTTTAGCCCCAAACTGGCCTCGTTTAGCATGCAACACTTTTAGCCTAATACTCAAAATGTTATTAAAAAAACCTATAATCGATACGAAAAAAAATAAAAAATTTCAATTTCTCTCTACTTTTTACATCTTTTAGCTTGATTGAATCAACATTCAACAGAGGTCTC